GAGGTATCACGCTCAAAGTATAGTCGGAGATCCAAATAATCCGACTGAACATGAATCAGTGGTAAAATCGATACAACATGCCATTCGACTTGGCGGACAAAACCAACCAAAGCATTCAAAACCGTCAAATGGGGTTAGATATCAGAAAAGTCTAACCACAAGAGTGCTTCTACATCAGCACTAGCGAAGCAACTTTCGCTGAGGATCCATGGATCAGACGTGAGACTAATACAAGATGGTACTCGACATGGTGGACATAACCAACCAGATCAATTGAGAATATCAACAGGGTTATATAACCTAATACGGTCTAAACCCCAAGGGCGCTCAAAGTGAGCTAGCGAGGCAAATCTCGTTGGGCGACTCTCCCATTTAGCAAAGTAGTTCTGCTGGGGAGACATCAAATATCCCGGTGGGAACATGGACCAGCTGAGCTACTGATACAACATGTCAATCGGTGGGGTGGACCAAACCAACCAAATCAACCGAAAATCATCGAGGTGGACTTCAAAAGTCCAAATGTAGGGCACTTTACGCAAGCACTAACGAAGTAAGTCTTGCTAAAAGGTCCCTCAGAACTAGCGAAGTAACTATAGCAGGGGAGAGCTCAACGTATATTTCCAACAAGAACTTACTAAGGCAATTCTTGTCGGGAAAAATACCGGGGCAAACGTCAGGCATCAAAAGTGGCTCTGACGAAGGACATGGAACGGACAAATAATAGACAAATTCTAGAACCGATATGACATGTCACTCTAACAAGGCAATGAAAATTGACCAGTTCAGTATTATCAAAGAGGGTGGATGAATAGAGCATACCGACCCTATACGTGATACTGCTACCAGAGATTTGGTAAAATTAATTTTGCTGAGGAATTGCTGCAGTATCCCAGCGTGGTTGGTTAAAACATAACTTTCTAACCACAAGGGCATGTTGCCCTCAGGCTAACTCAAAAAACATCTCTCAAAGGGGAAAACACCACACTCATTTGAAGTGAGTGGAAAACTCTAATTTTGACCCACACAGGGTGTTCAACCGAATAGAGGTGGCTAGGAATGGAGCATAGCTTCCCGCACAAAAAGGTATCAATCAAACTTGACCTCGAACAATCAAGACACCTGAGAAGGGCTGTACCAAATAGAGTGTACGAACCAAATGGTGTTTAGCCATAAGGCAAAAACAAAACATATCCCATAAGAGGGAATACACCACACTCATCTAAAGTGAGCGGGACGATCATATCCGTATAAAGGTGTTGGGTTCGGACCCTATGTAGAGAATGTAATCAAAACATAATGCTAGGAAAGGGCATGGCTTTCCTGCATAAGGCAAACATCAATCAAAATTGACTTCCATCAATTGATATATTGCAAAAGGTTAGCTAAGCTAAGTATTGTGTTTTTCATTATCTTATGATTTTGTAAAAACTTATCTAGCGAATTTTATTTGATTTAATGAAGTTTTTTATTGTGTTTTCTTCGTGTTTTATGAGTAGTTTTTCTTCCTCTTTCTTCTTGTTTGGAAATAGTAGCATGAGAAGATTGTGTTGTTTTCATTTTACTTTTATTTTGCAGTGAGTAAGATTCATGTGTAGGATTTTTGAACTTCATTTACATTACAATTTAGGCCTGCTGTAATGTTAAAATTTGTTGAGAAATATAAGATCCAAAAGGGTTATGCTTTATACAACAAAGTAAGAATCACATTCAATTTCATAGATGAGAATATAGTCCACGAGATTGAGTGCAAATAAATAGGGAAATATAATTTTATGGGCATATAATTGGAGATTTTAGGGTGACTGACCAAAATCACCAATTTGGTCCAATTGCTTGTAAACTAAAATGAGATTGTTAGCCCTCAGAGAAGTGGGAGCTCTGGAGTGGTAACTAGTATCCTCTCAACCTAACCCCATATTTAGGGACCAGACTCTGGATTAGTCAATGTTTTTTATGCACTCTCAGAGGGTAAAGAATAGGATTACTCCTATTTGGCACATACAATATTTAATGTATCTCATTTCTATACATTATCCAATTCACTACACAAGAATAATATTTTTTAACATCTCAAA